CATCTGGCTTTTGATCTTACAGTCAATATTGTAAGGTTCGTAGCATCGCACGGCTACTTATAGGCGTAATGGTATTGATCGATGTAATGAAAAAATTAAACAAATTCAAAGCTGTCTATTTAAATAATTTCGATGGAAATGCGTTGCAAATGATGTAGAACAGCGTAAGTTAGCTTAAAATAACAATATCAGATGGTTTGCATTCCTTTCATCATTGTTGCCCGTCTTACCCCATTCGGCTGCCAATAAGGATATCACACCGCCTCCGGGCACCAAATTAAAGGATTCATTCGCCAGCATACACATTTGGATGACACCCTAAGACGAAACTCTCATCAAATTTCCAAAACAAAATATGAAACAGCGAGGTCAGAAAACACTACGAAACACGATAGTTCTGCTTAGAGTGCAAGGCACGTTTTTAGCTTTTCCACAATTTTTCAAAAACTATTTAAGATGCGTACCTCTGCCTTCACCTCACAGCAAAGAACCACACGGCCGATTACCAACCACAACAAGAGGTTGCTAGCGCCAACGGTTTGGGCTAGAGGGCCGGTGCCCGTCTTTCCTACCCCGCCCGTCTTACCCCACTTTCCCCTAGTTGATGTGTGGAGGCAACATCATCCTGAAAAGCAAGGATATACGTGGTTCAAGCCAAATTTTAGCCAAGGTGCAAGGCTTGATATGTTCTTCATTAGTGCTCACCTATCCAGTATGTGTATTGACGCGTCGATAATTTCAGGTTACCGAACAGATCATAACATGCTATCAATAGATCTGCGTGCTATCGAATCACGTGGACCGGGCCTTTGGAAGTTTAACGAATCTTTATTAAATGACGAAGAATATATCAAGACAGTTAACAGCTGCGTCGAACAAACAGTCAGAGATTATTCCGTTCCAGTTTACACGCGCAGTTTCTTGTCTGACGCAAACAATTACAAAGAAATTCAATTTCGTATTAGTGATGAGCTTTTCTATGAAACGTTACTAATGATGATTAGGGGTGAAACAGTGAAATTCTCAAAAATAAAATCCAGACAACGGCGAGAAAAGGAAAAAGAACTTGTTAGGAACGTAGACGATGCATATTTGCAATACACACAGTCAAAAACTACAGAAAACGCTTCCCGTCTTCGTGAACGTAAAGAAGAGCTTGAAAATCATCGGAAACCTTATATCAACGGCCTCATTGTGCGATCTAGAACAAGATGGCACGAGGAGGGCGAGAAGTCGACAAAGTTCTTTCTGGGATTAGAAAAAAGAAACGCGATGCGAAAGACGGTGTCAGCACTCAAAATCAACGAAAAAATAATAACACAAACCGCATCTATATTGCAAGTGTTTACAGATAACCTGCAAGGAAAATATAAGGCCCACGACACACCTACATCATTTCAGGACTACTTGAGAGTAAACGTTACTAGCACATTAACAAATAACGAACGAACTCTCTTAGATCAACCGTTATCATTTCAGGAATTAACAGCAGCATTAAACAGTATGAAAAAAGGCAAATCGCCTGGATCCAATGGCTTTACGACGTGCTTTTTCCGACACTTCTGGAATATCATAGGGCCTTTTTTATATAGAGCGTTTACTTCCTCTCTCACCCAAAGCAAAACGTTATCATCACATAAAGAAGGAATAATTACATTAATACCTAAAACTGGAAAAGAACCAAGCGACATAAAAGCATGGCGCCCCATCACTCTTTTAAACGTCGATTACAAAATTATATCTACTGCCGTTTCAGTTCGGTTACAACATGTGATAGCTAAATTAATAGATCCATGCCAAAGTGCGTACATTAAGGGAAGGTACATCGGAGAAAACACCCGCACACTCTTTGATGTAATTAATAGCGTAACAAACAGTAAAGAATCCGGATTGATTATGGCAGCTGATTTCGAGGCAGCCTTTGACTCTCTTTCTTGGGATTATTTGTCGGAAATTTTAAAGCAATATAATTTTGGATCTTACTTTCGAAACATGATCGATGTACTGTATCTCAACACTGAAAACTTCTCAAGAATAATTTTAAATGGATACCTCGGAGAAAAAATCAGCCTGAGATGCGGGATACGCCAGGGTGATCCTACCTCCGGATATCTGTTTAATCTTGCGGTAAATGCACTAGCAAACCAAATAAAAACGTCAAACAAACTTTCTGGAATCAAAGTCGCAGAAAACACCGAAATACGTTTGTCTCAGTATGCCGATGATACTATACTGTTTTTGGATAACTCACCAGGCAGCATACAAGGTGCACTGTACGAATTAAAAATTTTCTCGGAAATGTCTGGTCTAAAGCTGAACGTAGAAAAAACGTCATGTCTCCAGATTGGTAAGACAAGGCAGCGTGAAAGCGATGTTGGCGGCGTGAAATGGGTAGAACAAATCAAAGTGTTAGGCGTAACATTTACAAATAATAATAAAGAAATAACTGAATTGAACTTAAAGCCCAAATTGGCGGAGATAGAAAGAGAAATAGGACAGTGGCAGAGGAGATATCTGACCCCCATGGGAAGAATCACTGTAATTAAGTCATTGTTGATATCGAAGCTAGTGCATTTATTTATAGCTCTACCGAATCCTTCTGAACAAGAGCTGAGAAATATCGAACGGATGTTTTTTTTCTTTTCTCTGGGGAGGAAAACGGGACCCCGTGAAAAGGGCTAAGGCAATACAAAACTACGCAAATGGCGGTTTACGTATGTTAGATGTTCACGCATTTGCTAGAAGTATGAAATTGACCTGGCTTAAAAGATTAAATTTTTCAACTGCTTCATGGGTACAACATTTTGAAAATTATTTGCCAAATGTAAGAGATGTTCTGTTATACGGAACCAAAAAACTAAGAAAAACGTCTCTTAAAATACAAAACCCTTTCTGGACAGATGTTTTTGAAGCCTTCAGTTACTTCAATAAAGTTTACGAAGTAGAAATGCCTGAAATACTTTCCGAAAGTCTCTGGTTCTCAGACCACGCAAAGTTCAAAGGATCGATTATCAAAGAATGGGACCGTAAGGGAATTAGGTTCCTTATAGATCTTTTTGATGTCGATACTGGCAAATGGTACACGAAAGAAATGATAGAGAAAACATATAACATAAAAATGACATTTTTATGTTACACAAGTTTAATCAAAAGTTTACCGAAAATCACAAATATAGAAACATCGGCATTCATTTCAAAGCCCATAATACCTTTCAAGATAAATTTGGTTTTAAACCATCCCAACTTTCCCCGCTTAGCATATCGCACATATCTGGAGGATAGAAGACATGAAACAGTACTCACGCGTAGAAGAGAAGAAGAAAAATGGTTACGAGATATTGGGTATTATGAGAGTGCAAGTTTTTACAGACTGTTAGGAGTCACAAAGTCGACCAGAATCCAAATGTTTCATTACAAATTAGTAAACCGTATTATCACGACGAACAGATATTTAAAAATCATATCTATAAAAAACGATGACTCTTGCACGTTTTGTAAGCAAGAAAGTGAAACACTTATACATATGTTCTGGCAGTGCCCAATAACCCAAAGATACATTAGTTCCATCAGAACATCTTTTGAAAGATCATACGCAATACATTTGAATATCAATCCGAAATCATGGTTCTTTCTCGAATGCTTGAGTGATATTGAAATGATCATAGTCACAATAGCAAAAATGGTGATCTACGAAGCGCGCCGCAATGAAACAAACCCCAGCATAAAACACCTCAATAACAGGTTAAAACAGGAAGCTCAAGTAGAACTTATTACAGCTAGACTGTCACACAATGAACGCATTTTTAGCGATAAATGGGGAAAACTTAAACAAATAGCGTGTGACGTGCAGCACACGCAACCGGAAGCACGCTTAGTAGAGCTGTGAGTTGATATTTCATTGAAACCCACTTTTCAATTATCAAAACATCAGTAGCAACTTTTCAGCACAACCAACACTTAACCACTCACAATCATTTTTTCACGACTCGAACAGCACATTAGCGGGACACATTACCATTTATCGCACCAATATGCTATCCCTATTATCCTTCCCCATCCCGGTCCCAATCCTCGTTCCCGGCGATGCTGCGATCGTCTCGGCTGCGGCGGTGCGCCGGCTGACCCGCGCGCCGGGCCGGGGGTGACGGCCGGGAGCGGTGCGCGGGTGCTTGCCCGGCTGCTGCTGATGCTCCTCCGGCCGTCTGGTCGTTTGTCGCGGCCGTCCCCGCTTGCCGCTGCTGCCGGGGGCATATCGTTTTCTGCCGTATCTTATTAACGTTGTATTTTTTTTTTTTTAAATGCCGTATACATGACGGATGTAGCATGGCACGGTGCGTGTGCGGTTCGCGAGCGAATGCGGGCGCGAGCACGTCGGCGAGAGAGCAGTCCTTGAACTGCTGGGCACCGTGACACTGTGAACCTGTGATTGTGAGACCGTTTGACAGTGTAACATTCCAGATCTGCTGGCGGGACTGTCGTGTCTGGCCGCCCGGGCGGGACAGTCCTGCAAGTGTACACACTTCCATAATATTGTTGTTTATATCGGTGTGTAGATATAAAGCGTTCACTAGTGTTTTTTTTTTGCCGCACGCGCGAGCTCGCGCCTCGCGGGGTGCGCACGGCGCGCTATGCAGTATACATGCATACAGTGTGTGAGCGCGGGTGCCGAGTGAGCGAATGCCTTTTGTAGGTGGATCTGAAGCGCCGCGGGCCATGGCGTCACCGGCCGATAGCGGCCGGCGCCATTCCTACTATGTCAGTGTGCTGGAATGGAGTGCTTCTGATAAATAAACCTCAGCCTTGTGAAAAAAAAAGAAAAAAAAAAGCCATTATAGAGATGTGATAGCAACACCTGCACGTGCACATTTGCAGTAGCATCCATTTGATGATGCATGTGAATGTCAGAATACCGCAAAGGCAAGAGTTCATCATGCGTTCAATTAGAGAGTTTCCAACGTACTGATCGACATAACTTATCTGGTGTGGGAAACACAAACCGGTGATGAAATCATGATGTGATTATTGCAACCAAGACACTGCACATTTCCAATAGCATGAACACACAAATCTTCATCCACTCTTTTGTGCACTTGTCCAGGTTACACATGAGCACACGAACACACGTACACACCGACGAAGACATCCAAAGTCAACAAAGATGTGACTCTGGGTGAACATGGGAAGACAGAGACATAACAAGGAGGACGGTGGACGAAGACCTACGAGGCCCAGACAAGCGCATGATGATCGGACACACAGCCACTAATAATGCCAGACAGAATGGTACATTCTGAATCACTGTGCGCACCGATCAGCTTATTCATAGGAGTATCCAAACTTGCTCGACCCATAGGGCTCGGCCACCATCAGGGTGATGCCGTCGAAAGTGATGGTGCGCATATTTCCGTGGCTGGCGCTGTAGGTGCTGTGGACGACGGGGATGGACGAGGCGCTGTAACCGGCCGACGTCGCCTGTCCAGAGCTGGTGATGCTGTCATCATCAGGGGCAGCGGCAGCGGCGGCGGCAGCAGCGTCGTAGGCAGCCCTAAAAGCGGCCTTGGCGGCCTTGACCTCGGCGGTGTCATCGACGTTGCCAGAAGCGTCCAGAGGCGCCGCGGGTCCGGAGTACTTGATCGCTACGGGGGCCGGGGCCAGGTAGGTCGAGTGAGAAGCAGGAGCGCTGTACGTGACCGAGTGGACGGGAGCAGGGGCCGGGGCGCTGTAGGTGGCAACGGGGACAGCGCCAGTGATGATGTTGACATCGGGAGCAGCGGCGGCAGCAGCGGCAGCAGCATCATAGGCAGCCTTGAAGCTAGCCTTGGCGGCCTTGACCTCAGCGGTGTCATCGACGTTGCCAGAGGCATCCAGAGGCGCGGCAGGTCCGGAGTACTTGATGGCCACGGGGGCAGCGACCGGAGCACTGTAGGTAGCAACGTTGCTGGCCACGAAGGGGACTCCGCCCATAATGATGTTGGTGTCGGGAGCAGCCGCAGCAGCAGCAGCGGCAGCGTCGTAGGCAGCCCTGAAAGCGGCCTTGGCGGCCTTAACCTCGGCGGTGTCATCGACGTTGCCAGAGGCATCCAGGGGCGCAGCAGGTCCGGAATACTTGATGGCCACGGGGGCCGGGGCAATGTAGGCCGGCTGAGTGGCAGGGGCGCTGTAGGTGGCAGCGTTGATGGCGACAGCAGGGGCAGGGCCAGTGATGATACCAGTATCCGGGGCAGCCTCGGCAGCAGCAGCCGCAGCGTGGTAGGCGCTCCTGAAGGCAGCCTTGGCAGAAGCCACCTCAGCAGTGTCCTGCACAGACGCCGGCAGATGAGCACCGCTGGCGATGAAGCCAGTGTCGGCGCCAGCCTTGTAGTCGACACGCCTTCTCTGGGCATCGTCAGCAACGAACTCGAAGTTGCCGTTGACGTTTAGGGCAGCGTCGGCAGATTCGTAGCGGGAGCTGTCACCAGTGGTGTAAGAGAACTCGTACGAACCATCGGTGGACTCGAAGCCGGCAGCTGCAGCCTGCTGGCCTCCATAGGTGATCACGGGGCTGGACGCAGTGATGATGTCATCGTCGGGGGCAGCGGCGGCAGCGGCGGCGGCGGCGTCGTACGCAGCCTTGAAGGAAGCCTTGGCGGCCTTGACCTCGGCGGTGTCATCGACGTTGCCAGAGGCATCCAGAGGCGCGGCAGGTCCCGAGTACTTGATGGCCACGGGGGCCGGAGCCAGGTAGACCTGCTGAGGAGCAGGAGCGCTGTACGTAACAGAGTGGATGGGAGCAGCAGGGGCAGGGCCAGTGATGATGTTCACATCAGGAGCAGCCTCGGCAGCAGCGGCTAGAGCATCGTAAGTAGCCTTGAAGGTGGCCTTGGCAGCCTTGACCTCAGCGGTGTCGTCAACGTTGCCGGAGGCATCCAGAGGCGCACCAGGACCCTGGTACTTGATGGCCACGGGAGCAGGGGCCGGGGCGCTGTAGGTGGCAACGGGGACAGCGCCAGTGATGATGTTGACATCGGGAGCAGCGGCGGCAGCAGCGGCAGCGGCGTCGTAGGCAGCCTTGAAGGAAGCCTTGGCGGCCTTGACCTCAGCGGTGTCATCAACCTTTCCAGAGGCATCCAGAGGCGCAGCGGGTCCCGAGTACTTGATGGCCACGGGGGCCGGAGCCAGGTAGACGGGCTGAGGAGCAGGAGCGCTGTACGTAACAGAGTGGACGGGAGCAGCAGGGGCAGGTCCAGTGATGATGTTGGTATCCGGGGCAGCCTCAGCAGCGGCAGCCAGGGCATCGTAGGTGGCCCTGAAGGTGGCCTTGGCAGCCTTGACCTCGGCAGTGTCCTCTACCTGCTCAGGGTGCGTAGCCAGCTCCTCCAGTGTGGCGTAGCGGACGGGGGTCTTGCTCACGTAGGTCCTGGTGGAGGGAGCACTAGGCTCCTTGAGAGACGTCACCACGTAGCCGTTGACGCCGGCAGTGTACTCGACGCTGCCGCCATCGGCACCGAACTTTCCGCGCACCTCGTTGACGTCATCGCCCTCCTGGGCCTGGTAGAGGCCCTCGGCGGTGTCGAAGCCGTAGCTGTAGGAGCCGTCGTTCTGCTGCGTGTAGTACTGGGCCCGGCGTCCCTGGTTGACGACCGGGAGCTTCCAGCACTGGCAGCCAGCGACCAGCAAACCCAATACGACCTGAAAACACACCAGCAAGATGTAAGAAAACAGCATTCAGCACATTGTATCACATGTTCTCGCCATTGGTACTCTGAGAGGTGGAGGCGATACGCATTTATTTTACTTGATAAGAATCGTCAAATCGGCAAGAGTCACTAGGTCAACAATTATGCATACTTCTGCCTTCGAGAATGTAATTTGCATTATGCAAAAGGGCCGTGCTTTCTGACTTTTTTAAAATGTGTTTTTGTGCGATTTGTATGCGTGTATTTCAGTACCTATAGATCCATGTGTAGGAAAACCACTTAAAACAAATGATATGAGGATCTACATCTGAAAATGCTGCAATGTGATTGTAATATTCTGAGTTTCAATTTATTAGTTTCTCTAGTACTTTGTATAATAAGCATAGAAATTTAGATTTAGATTGAATGATGATATTGTAAGGTGTGTATTTTGAGCTCGAGGAATCGATTTTACATTTGTTTTGACGGCGAACAGAAGAATATCGAAGCAAGCTCCTCATCGTAAACCGCAAAAATGCTGCCTTTCTAACAACATAGTGGCAGCGAACTATATCAGCTACAAAACAGTAGAAGAAAGATACGAACAATGCACGATATCTGAGGCATTACAGTTAATAAAAATGTACTGCGCACCTCCTATTTTTTCTTTCATCTTTAAGGCATTTTTGGCATCCGTCGGCAATGAGTATTCATTGGTAAATGTCCTTCGATTCTCATTAGCATGGTAGTGGTATTATATAAAATCTAAACATTAGTGGAATACAACCTTTATGCTTTTCTTAAAATAAATTATCTAGCCTGAATCAACTTGAGACATTTATAAAGGGTTGAAAGCTCTCATGAACTGAGTCGCTCAAAATGTAGTACCTATTCAATCGGCAACCAGGCTTTCTAGAATAATTGTGATGTTGAAAATAAATGAGAATCGTAAAAATTAGCAAAAAAGTTAAAACAAAACAGAAACATCCACATTAAAAAAATAATCAAAATGCATTTGTAAGTCTGCATTCTGCAATTTCTCGCTACAGGACAAATGGAAGACGGCACGTTAGTTTTACAGTGCGGCTGAGTCGGTTGGTCCACTGGACGGCGGATGGCTGAACTCTGAACAGTCACCAGTACTCACCAGACGAGCCGCCATGGTGAGACGGACGGTGAGAGTGTGAGAGTGTGCTGCCGTTCCACCAGTGGACGCCGCTTATATAGTGCGGCGCTGAGCGGGGCTGTGGCCGCCGGCAGCGGGACTCTTCTCGTCACCAAGGCCGGTCAGTGGGCCGGCCGGACGGCCGGACGGGCGGCTCCTGCCGCTCCCAGCTACGCCGGCTGGGCGGACACGCCACGGGGCGTCCGGACAGTTCCCGGCACGTGAGGCAGGTCTGAACGGCAGCGCCAGTCTTCACAGCCCTGGCGGAATATCCCATGGTCGCTTCGACCCTACACTGCCTTATGCTATGGGGTCCGACAATGTTTTCGCATGTTCTTCGCATGTTTTCGCTATTTAGTTTTCGTGTGTTCCGACCTTGTTATTCTTGAACTCAGCATCTCTCTTGAAAGTCGTTGTGTCGGCACATCTATTTTGTTGGTATATGGAACGAGGGCTAGTTTTGGAGAAAAGTTATTTAGCTAGTTTTAATGTTTTTTTTTATTTTTGTGCTCCTAAAATGTAAAGTAGCTCAATTCCCAGATTAGTTCCACTTACATCAAAACTGCTCCAAAACGTCCAATGGGGCGAGAAAGTTCAATGGGAGCAAAATGTGTTGTGGGAATGCTGAAACAGATTTTTTCTCTTGTTGATTCATTATAGAAACACGGCATTCACATTAAGGATCGTGCTTTTGTTCATCGTGTATTAGGTACCTCATGCAATACTCATTTTATAAAGAATATATTTAGTACATTCATGGTTCAATGAGCTATTAAAATCCTTAAAAGTATGTCACTTCTAGAGAACAGTAGCCTCTCCGTAGAAACATCGACATGATAGTAATAAGTAACGAAACTAACTTCCGATTACTTACGAAACTAACTTCAAGTCCGATTAGGTATTGAAATTATTTTGCACACAATATCCGATTTCGCCTGCGGCATTTATCTTTAAAAATTGAAATGTGTCTTCTGTATTGTCCCGGCCAGTTTCCATGCCAGCAATCCCGTCACCAATAATTAGAATTTAAGTGACGCTTATGTAGCTGATGTCTGTACTTCAGTAGAACGCCGCATCCATATCATATGTTGCTATTTTTTTCGGCAAAATGGTTTTTAAGCAAAATCACGCATAAAGTCCAGTTCTCCTTCGTATTTTGTCTAACTGCGATTAGCGATATGTTTTATATATATTTGCTATATTTCCAAATTTATTGGAAAGTTGATCTGTATTGCCTTTTTTATTTTGATCCAAACTATAGGTACGCCTCATTAGTCATCTTTACCGCCGCGTATGCTTTACATAATCCCTGGCAGATATCAGCGTGAAAATTCGAGTAAGAACGGTAACCGGCGAAATAAACCCCATCACGCGCAAATAACGCGACGACAGATTCAGGAAAGCCAGCGCAGGTTTTCGTCCTCGCCAGTACCTACACTACACCGCCAGTCAGGTAATCACCTAACCTGGCAAGCAGAGTCGCACAGGCAAGAAACCCGGCGGGCTGGCCCACTCGCCACGGGCACAGCACGGCGCGGCCGGGCGGGCGGCAGCCGCCTGTCACAGGCTGGATAGGCTGTGCCGCATGACACGAGACTGCAACGCGTCGTGGGCGGGAGCGGTGCGGCCGGCCGGGCGGACTGGATGGTGGCGAGCGGAGTTTTGAAAAGTAGCGTTGAACAGATGGCCTGCACACTGAACGGACAATACAGTGGGATATACTACATAGTCCCTGACTAAAGCACATATTAGGTGCATAAACAATGATCGCGGCCACAGGTAAACGAAATTGAAAACAGAAACTTTTAAATGATGTGAAGTGTAAATCCTGCTACATAACTTGGACACATTGTTGTACTTATTAATTCATGGTTTAGATTATTTTTAATTGACCGGGATCTGGTCCTTAATTTGATTTAGCATTTACTGTATTTCGAGCAACTTCACGATAGAGTTGAATTCGCTGGACATCCGAACTATTGTTCTGGAGCAATCCGCAAACATTTCCGGATTTCTTGTTCTCTACGCTTTTGCTACTTTCTATATAGTTCATCCAAAACAAATGCCTATGCTATCACCAATTCACCACTCATATATGGTAAAAAGGTATGCTATGGATGATATAATCCATGAAATAAGATGGGTTAAGGATACGCTTTGGCGGGATTTCTTAGTTGAGTATTTGAACATGACATGAATGTGAATATTTTTTTTAGATATGCATTTTATTCAACTATGCACAAACATTAGGACATCGTCATTCATGACAACGACAGATGTAACGACAAATGACCTTTCCTGCTTGGTGTTACGAGACAACAAAACTTAGATGAATTTAAGCAAGGTTGACTTTCATATAAACAATGTACAAAAAAACTACAACAAACAACAATTAACAATAAAAAAGAATAAAACACTGCTAAGTCACCTCATCCACCGACCACCGTCATCCCCTAAGTGCCGTGTGTGATATCATTATCTAAAAACTGCCGCTTCTGCCATTGGGCTCATTCCCGACCTCATGGGTCACCATATAGTAGAAGTATCTTTAGCCCATCCGTCCCTGTCTTCTCTCCTGAGCTGAGGTGATTTGGTAGTCCCTTTGACTTGTGACGATCGTTACCCGGCCGCGGGGACGGAGAGTAGACACCCCGCCCTCGGGGGTTGGGTACGGGGAGCGGGCGGGGTAGGGTGGGGTGCTGGGAGGCACCAGGAGCTGGTCCAAGCGGGCGTCCTTGGGAGAACCCTGCTACAGTTTCGGAGGACGGACGAGGCGGTCTCTGGCCGGCGGGCAGCCGGACAAGGGCAGCCTGGGAGATCACTGGCCCCGGGCTGAGGATGGTCGGGTGCCGGGCGCCTTCTTTAGAGGCGAGCAGGATACTGAGCTGACGGCAGATTAGACGGAACCATATGTCAACTGGGGAAAAACTGGTCAGCACCCTTCGGACGCTGGTTGGGGGCCATGCCAGGACGGTCGGACGTGACATGTTCTTTTGGCGACGCAGTGGGCTATGCCCGTGTGGAAAAGGTCGTGTTCTGGTCACAGTGCCTATGATACAGATAATTAAACTATGTTTTCCTTTCAAATGATAAACAGGTTCTCGTGTTTATCTATAAGAAATAGCACGATGGGTTGCTTTGATTATCGCCGTAATCGGTGAGATCTCAGCTTGAATTTTGCAGAATCAAACGAACTTAACATATTTGTACTGGTACATACTGCTTGCTCTTCCTCTACAAATATACGATAAAGGCATCTTGCATAATGTGATATGCACTCGATTTTTAGTTCAACGAGAAAAGAGACATTCAGTGCAGTAGTTCACTCTCACAATATCGTTTAATATCATTAGGAAGGGGTATTGATATCGTTACATAACCTATTTATCACAGCATTTAAGAAATGTCTAATTTTTCACATCTCTAGCTAACGGAGACTGAGCCAACTACCGAGAGAGGCACCGAACAAAGTGTCATTGCTATTATAAGTAGGCTCTCGAAACTACACTCAGAAAACACTATGAGAACATTTTTGAATAAAGACTCAAGTGAGTGCTGAAACAAGCCTCCAATGTGTCTGATTTTAAAAAAAATGGTTTCAGTAAGACTTCCTTTTCGGGCTCATGTACTTTCAGCCCGAATACTGGATTCAAGTGAGACCGAAATTGGGGATCGGGCTGTAAACTGGTTTCATAGTGAGACTAATTTCAAAGCTTGACACCGATAATGGGTACTGACTGAGATCTGTTTCTGCGATCAATGGCGTTGCTCAGAAAGTATTCTCAAAACGTGTGGTCTGTTTTGAATAGGGGACATTAGCCCGAAAACTGGCCTCTGAGACCGAAAATGGAGAAACTGTTTTCTCAGTGATAGCATCTGTTGTCCTCCCCAACTCAGGCCTCACTAAAGACGCAGTGCTGGCTCGGACGACCTTGAGACTGTCGCTGCCGATCTCCGGCCGACTCCCGTTTTTGCTCTCGTCTGGAAACGTATCGGGTCATCTAGCAACGCTGCAATTAGACGAACCGTCTGACCGGTCTTCTAGAGCAGCGCGCGCCTCGGCTATTTCTATTTTAGTTTGTTGATGCTGCCCGATCTCGATTTTACGTCCTAGCAGACGGGCGCTTGGATCGTTTTGAGTGCGTTTGCAGTTTGCGCATACACCGTACTTCCATTATGGGATCCAAAAACACTAATTAGAAGACCTTGCTGTCGCCATAACTAAAGAAAATAGTAATGAAGCACCATTACGAATTGCACCCATGCTATTGAAGCTAGAAAGATTGGTAAAAGTCCAATCCACGTTAAGTTGTTTGAATAGTAGATACGGAATGAACTATGCATAAATTTTATTCCTATTGTACTTAACAACTTTTACATTATAATGCATAGTGTCGAAAAGAAATACATAACTAGTCCTTGAAATTTTGTTTAAAAGCAGCAACAAGTCGTTGAAAAAATACATTATCGGGTATTCATTGCAAACCACGATGTAAATGTTGATCGCCATGGTTAAATAATTGCAATGCGTTGTATTATTTTATCAGGCGCTCTGCAGACAAAAATGCCACTGGCTGGAAGACGGTTATTGTTGCAACCTAATTCAGACAGGTGTGTGGTGACTTTTTGACGTCTTGCGTGACACATGCCAAGACAGGATAACCACTGTGGAATGTTTAATGTTGCTAATGGTATTCAAGTTGGAAGGTGGACTAATTCAGCTGGCAAAGGTTGAACATTCTACCTGTTTCCAAACGAGTGGTTATCTTCAAACTTACTGCTCTTTCATGCTGACAATTTCACTTTTATTTTAATATGCATAAGAAACACTCTTTCAATTAATACAGTTAATGCCAAATGAGTCGATACAATATAAGTGCTTTCACAACCAACCCTGAATGTTAAATTACTTGGGCAGATGCTTCTCGCATTGTGCGAGATGTTCGCTATCACTAAAAAATATGACGGTCCATTGTTCACTAAGACATTTATAGAGCTACGTCACCAATTTAACAATAAGATTATTAAGAATCTCGCAGCATGACGAACATTTACAGAAGAAATGACTTACAGATATCATTTCTTTCACTTTAAAAAATACAAAATTGCAATTAGGCTAATTTCTGACGAAATTTTAAATATAAAACACGATACCCTGCATGAAGGCATGCTGTAATATTTTTTTTTTGGCGAGGAGGCCCGGCGGCCGCTGG